ACAAACTTCTGTCGAGATTAAGGTGTATTCCGCAGATGCCTACCGGCTCCCAAATTGGGCTTACATGTCCGAGCGACGCCGCTTCTCCTTTGGCACTTGAGATGCTTTCTTCCTCCTTCAGCCGACGGCAGAATCGGCCTATCTCTGGAACGGTAATGGCCTTCTGCCTCGGTGGGGTCTCCGTGTCGCTATTTGCGGATAGAGAACATGTCAATCTAAGCCGAAAAGCCGGCCGCCCCTGTTGCAGAGGCCAAAATGTCAGAGTTCCGCTGTCAGTAGTCCCGAAAAGTGCAAGACCATCCGGTTCAACATCTCCTCCTTCGTTTTTACAACGAAACCGCCTTCGTCGGAGCAGACCCTTTCGGCCACTTTGAGGGTGGAAAGTTGATGATCGGCTGCTATGGCGAATGGTCGATTGCTTCAGCCTTGTAGAGTATAAACCTGCATCAAAGTACAGATTTGTTTTTTCACTAAGCATCGTGTCGCCTTGACGAGGCACAAATACGTCAAAAGGTAGGGAAGGCAGATCCACAGGAGCCAATACATTAGTCGAAGTTAAACTTGGCAGAACCTGAATGTTAAAAGGGAAGACATTTAAGAGCAATATTCTAAAGTGGATGGATGTTTTACACTTTGCACTTTGATGCTGAATCCAGCTTTTCCAAATTGGTCGCATATAAATTATGAGAAAATGAATAAATGCTGACCCTACAACAAGTCGGAAATTTATTACTGGACCCTTGGATGAGGCTACTTGATCGACCTAAAGTTTGTAGTGCTTAAAATCGAGAAAGGTTCTATTCCTCTTACTACTTAACTAGTTGAGCTAGCATCAAACATTGTTAAATATTTAATTATTTACGGAACTACACATTTTTTTCAGTATTCATCCTTAAATGTACTCTAAATTACAATCGGTCACGCTAATTATATGCTTAATAAGAAGTATATTTCGAATCAACCAATTATTCTTTAATAATAACTCAGTCACTCAAGGTCGCATAAGGCTATCTAACGACTGCTAATGGGCTTCTCCAAAAATGAAATGACCGACCCGGCTTCGAAACCCTATTTTGGGAGTTCATAAGGCCTATGTGAGGCCATATCTACAGTCAATCCCGGAGGATAATACCTTTTCTAAGTAAAGGCTAAGAGTAATGTCATGAAATCGTGGGGCCCATTCGTTTAATCGTGGAGAAATCCTTACCATCAGTCCCTAAATCGCCTTATGCGCTCTTGAGGGTGTTATTATTAAAGGTTTACTGCTAATTTATAAGCATACTACTCACTAATAATATAAGTAATGTAGTTAGTTATAATGACAAATAAATGTCACCAAGGCCAATAACTTCGATATGTGATCACAATCAAGTAGTTTTATTGCGTGAATAATTTAGCATCCGTCAGTTTATTATATCAGCTAACTTTATTTCAGTAAACAAAGTAAGGTAGCCAGCAACATAATATTCCTATTCAAGAGACCCTGACAGTTTCGAAGCTTGCTTCCATTTAAAAGTATTTCTTAAAATTAACTAACATAAAAATTGGATGCAGGCCAGAGATTCACTGGTAAAAACTTAAGTTCATGAGTTGTTAATGATGTGTCTTCGAATGCACTTTGACCCTCTAGGTCCACTGGCCACGGAATCACATTGCTTCGGCTTTTATACATTCTGTTGAGAGTGCCTTATAAACTCATTAGAAGAAACTGCATTCTTGGTAGCTATTTTTGGTTGTTGTAATTCACTTTGTACTTCAATAGTGACATACCAACCCACACACCATCCAAAATTTGTCTGTCAACTAAAGAGAAGAAGTTTCTTCTCTCTCGAAATCTCTGCATGTTCAGTCCCAATCACAATGTAATCAGTATTATCAGTATAATCATTATAGGCATTATGCTATCCTTAAAATCCATTATGGTCCAAGTCCTATTTTATTTTATAGGAGAGATATTTTGACAGACGTCATAACAATAAAAGTTTATTTTTCTTATGTTATTAGAGTTTTAAGACTACCAGTAAATCAGTAATATGAGATTTATTCATCCTATTTCACCCTATCCATCTCATATTACTGATTTACTGGTAGTGTCAAAACTCTATTTACATACTAAAAATAATTAACGTACTCGATTTTTATAGCAAAAATACGTTTGCTTTATCGACAATCCTACCAAAGAATGTGATATGAGAAAAAGTCTTCCTTGAAATTCACATCTGT